ATCTCAAATTAAAATTTTTTTCTAATTTAACTTGAATTAGAACTCTTCTAATTCTCTCTTCATGAAGAAAAATTAATATATTTATATTAATTTTATTTTTTGGGCTTCTACTAATCATGAGTGACATCTAGTAGTGTATCATGATCAACCTGTGGATAACACAAAGTTAGTAAAGAACCTAGGAATTATTGTCAAACCCCTAACTCAATTGTATGTGTTCAATATTAGGACTATGACTCCTAATGATAAATTAGAAACCCTTTTTACAATTGTCATTCTACCTGGCCAAGGACTCACTAAGTCATATCCTCAAAGATCACATAGGGCATTCTCCCTTTATTTACTAAGGGTGATAGATTTCATGTTATACACTCATAAATCTTCATGCATGTCTAATTATGTCCAACAATATATATTCAAGTTATATGATTAGTATATGAATATGTTGTATAGTTAAAGAATAGAAGTACATGCACAAGACAATCATAGTGTCTCAAGTCTAAGGATCAGTTGCATAACTATAAATTTAGGATTTAATATTGACAGTTATATAAAACTCCATATGAAAAAACCTATACTAGTCAATGGTCACTTTCAATGTACTTGTTCTCTAACAAATACCCACACACTTACTTCAGTGTCCCTACACTAGTGATTTAGACGAGTTACCTCGTATTAAATATGAGTGAACATGGTATATACTAGTCTATTTGGATTATATAATGCCCACATAGTAATCTTATGACTAGAAACATTAAACAGTTAAGTACTAAGAAGTATAGTTCTCTTCTTCTCAACTCCTTGAAAAATTATCTTCTTAACTTATACCCTATGGACTATATCATGTATATTAAAATGATATAAAGTAGAAATATGATAAATAAACTTGCCCTTTTTTTTAATTAAATAATAAATGTTGCTAGTATAGCCCCAAAACATCATCTATATGATTGGTTTTAGAGCATACTACTAACAGCACTTGTTCAACATCAAGCAAGATCAAGATGAAAGTTTAAAGAGTTAACTCACTCGTTATAACGAGGTGGTCCTCCAGGATGAAGAACCCGATGACAAAGTTTCCATGGCAGCCTTAAAAGAAGGCCTGCACTCATCCAGTCTTTTGTTTTCAGTTTTGCAGCGCCCACCAAAGAACATACTAGAATTACTATCAAAAACCAAAAAATACATGAACATTGAGAATGCCGCCAAAGCAAGGCAAGCTGAGTCCGTACGTAGAGGGGAATACGAAGAGTAGAGACAATCCTAACAATATTAGCATCTAATAGTACTGAAAATAGTACTCACCTTGAGAATTATGATTTCATCCATTCAGAATAAAGGTTGTCCATTCACACGAATGGAACGTGGCACATAAAAATTCTACTTCTTTACTAATTTGTGGTTGAAATTCAAATTTAGTGGATAACAAGTGTTTTTTAGGGAAATTCTGTGCCCAAACCACCGAATGCTGTTTGATTCAAGTATATCTCAAAAAGATACCCAAATTCAAAAAAAAATTCACCTTAAACGGACAATCATATGCAAAGTTATAGTCGTTCAAAGTTTTTTCACTTTTTCATGCTTTTCTAATACTCCACTAACGCCCTTCACCAACCACCAGCCAAGCACCTAATTCATAGCTCCAGCGTCCAGGTGCACAGCACCCACCTGCCTTGCCTTGACGTTTACCTTGCCCGCCTTAGCACATTCCTCCTCACCCACCTAGATGTTTCTCCAGCCCTAGTGCATCTGGCGCCCTCGCCAATGCTTCGTCAACTTTGTCCCGCCAGCACCCTCTAGCTAATCTCACTATCATCTCCCTTCTTATCTCCATCTCTTGGAAGACAACCTCCCAAGTCGCCAAAAGCTTGACTAAACTCTGCCTCTATTCTCACACAAGCAGCCTCAGTCTCCATCTTAGCAGCTCTCTCACGAGTCGCGAGAAACTCAGACTAACTTTGTCTCTGCTCTTACACAAGAAGCATCAGTCTCCAACTTAGTGGCTTTCTCGCGAGTCGTCAGAAGCTCAACCTAACTATGCCACCATTTTCACATAATCAGCCTCAGTCTCCAGCTTAGCAATTTTCTCTCAAGTCACTATAAGCTCGGTTTAACTCTGCCTCTACTCTCGTGCAAACAGTCTTAGCTTCAAGCTTAGTGACTCTCTCATGAGTCGCCACAAGCTCAGCCTACTGTATCTCTGCTATCATGCAATTAGCCTCAATCTCCAGCTTAACGGTTCTCTCGCGAGTCACCAAAAGCTTGGCCTAACTCTACCTCTACTCTCACGAAAGCAGCCTTAATCTCCATTTTAGCGGCTCCCTTGCGAGTCGCCAAAAGTTTAGCCTAACTCTATATTTGCACTCACGCAAGTAGTCTTAGTCTCTAGAAACTTGGCCTCATGACGTGTAGCTCTTTCATAAGCCATCCACAACTCCACAACATCGTTGTGTCTACCTCACCCTTATCAGAGTTCAACTCCTAAAAGAAGACAACGAAAAGATTTCTTGTTGATGTTCTCTCCCCCAAATCCCATTGGGCTTAGGGTATAGGGGCAAATGACTGGCCCAGCCTAGACTAGGCCCTTATCACAAATGATATGCCAATAGTAGATCCAGATCACAGATGTAGGCCAACAAAGGATCAGTTACAATTCTAGCTAGGCCAAGCCCACCTTTCTAAGAGACCCAGCCCATCATCAACGCACATGAGAATCTCCATCCAATGAGAGGAAATTGGTGGGGATGTGGTCATCAGAGGCACATCACCCTTCTTGGGAGATGACCTTACCCATTATGAGAAAAGACGACCTTTAAAGAATCATCCCACTATCCCCTTAGCCATTATGAGGATAAGGCGAGCTCCACAAACTTAGTTATGAGAATGGTGCCCCAATCAGAGCCCTTCGGAGCCAATTTCACTTACCTATAAATTGTAAATCTGTCTACATTTGGAGAGCATCACATGGGGGATAACGTCCCTATAAATTGTAAGCCCCGTTTACATATGAGGGGCATCTTAGGATACTACATCTCTTGAATAATAAGATTCTTCGACCACCTTTGTCATTCCCAGTGAAATAGGTCAACTAGACCGAATCACCTAATCTTTGTCTTTGCTTGTGTTAAGTCTCATTCTCAATTATTACATTAAATACTCGATGGGTGATGCATTGATGAGTTTTTAGAAGCATGTTATACAACATCTATGAAGTATGATGTCAGTTCAATTTATAAGACCTTGAAGATAATTACCAAATAATCATAATTTCTTCATTTCAAGTCCCATATTGCATATTTACCATACGTGATCAACTTAAGCTCAATCAAAACATACTTGACCAATAAAAAACATATTACACCTGATATATTGCCTACGTCCACTTATCCACCACCTTGTTGAGATCACTCCACTAAATTAGCTTTTACGAAAATCCCAATACCCATGAGCACAAGCCAACCAATTCACTAGCTCTTGGGGTATGCGAATTTCATAACATTGAGAATCATGACCTCCACGAGCACCATTACACCCTCTTCAGAATCAGATCATCCACGTATACCTTTATGCATGCCTTTACCACCACGTCTAACCCTATAATTACCTTATTATTAGAGTAAGATCTCCTCTAATAAACTTTCTTTTTATTATTCTTCTTAATAAATCACCTATCATAAACTCAAGTGAGGTCCATTGTATAAAAATAGAGCCCTCACTCTATTTGTTGTTGGAGACAATTAAAGTTGTGCAGTCTCTAGTATGTCCTCTATGTGTACTCAAGTTAGAATGATCATCCACGAAGAGGAGGGGTTGGAGTCCTCCAAATTTGTGCACAATTAGGCTCATAATGACTTTTTTTTAACCATATCACATCAAAAACAATACATGTTCAGACATTGCGTGTGATTTTCTTTTGAGTGTTGCTGCAATTATATTTAGTTTGAAACTCATTTCTGAAAGTGGAAAACCGAACAATATTAAGCATAGACAATTTCTGCATTAAATGCCCCATCCAAACACCTTAATTAGACTTCTGTCATTTAGTGTAACAATGGGGAGGGTGGTGGCACAGTCAAATCCCCATAAAAATGGCATAGGAGATTTGCAACCCCTAGGCCCTAGTTTGTTAATCTCCAGTGAAAGCATTAAAAGAGCTGGAGGAGTTACTTCCCAATATGAGAGTTAAGGATCCCATAATAAATTAAATTAGTTTTTACCTTTGATTCAGCCTAGGATTTTTAAAACCCTAAAGTTATGGGGGCTGTTGGAGTCAATGGGGAGGAAGGTGGATGAACGGTCATGTGGAGGAAGACATAATAAAACCCAAGATGCCAGACAAAGTTGTTGAAAGATTAGAAGGGAATATTTGGGAGTATGAAAGGGAATTAGAAGGTTTTGTAGGTTTATTTTGGTTTACACATGTTAACCATATGCTACCAAACAAACACCCCTTTGTGGATCTCTCAATCAGGTCAATGGGTCTATATGTATTTTATTTGCGTATATGCAAATATAAATTATTTTAGATTTAAGACCCATATCTCCTGATAATTTGATTACATCAGCCTGTATATATTTGCACTAGAGTCCACCTTTCCGGTTCTAGCATGGAAGTGGAATTCCATTCATGTACTTTTTCAATTATATTTAACAAGTATAAATAATGTATATTACATATATACGGGAAGAGAGAGAGAGAGAGAGAGAGCGAGAGGCGAATAGGATGGGGGGAAAAGGCATCACAAATGCCAGTCTCTTTCTCTCTCTAACATTTTTTATCCCGTCGTCTCCGGGGAAGGAAATCAAAGTGACCATTTATCTTTTTGCTTATCTTTATTTATTTCTGTGATTGTGTTTTTGTTTTTGTTTGCTGCTTTCCGTGTTTTGACTAGAGAGAGAGACCTTGTTCTAGTGTCATTTTCCAAGATATACTCTCGAGGAACACCAGACCCAAATCCCCCTCTCCTTTTTATGCCTTTCTGGAATTCCTTCTTAATTTTTTGCCATACCCATTGCTTCACTTCAGTCTCCACACCATCTCTCTCTCTCTCTCTCTCTCTCTCATGTCTGTTTGAAGAAGTGTAAGAGCTTTCACCCTCTTTGAGTTCTCTCCTTTTGTCTGAAAAGAATATCAAGGTGTTATTTCATTACTTCCTACTCTTCAATAAACCAAATCTCTGTTATAAATCTCCAAGAACCGAAGGTGCGGGGTTTCTTACTGTGCCAATATCTATCTCTCTTGCTGTGACTGTGTATGAGTGTCTATCAAGGAGGAGAGAGAGCCCTTTGCTAGTTCCTTGATACAATTTGGATTAAGAGGAGAAAGATCACTATTCCAGTGAACAATCCAACAAAAATGCCCTTGGAAGGGATGTTCATTGGCCCCTCCTCAAAACCACTTCCTGATCTTTCTCTCCACATTAGTCCTCCCAACAGTTCCTCTTCATTTATCTGCAATAGCACCATTGAAGCAGATAAAAGTTTCGATCTTTCAAACCCAGGTGAAGCAGACAAGTCTAACAGCATCAACTCTTTCAGAACCACCAACCCACAAGCTTACACTGAGCTCTCCCTGTCGCACCCAGCAAATACCCTAAAAGAAGAAAGCCAGTTTCGAAGGAATTTCACAGGTGGAGCTCATGAAGAACAACCACAAAACCCTTATCATCAGACTCACCATATGTACCTACCAAGCACCCAGTTAAACCATATAAATCATGGGGTTTCACAACTCCATGTATCGGACGGGTTAAGACCCATAAAAGGTATTCCGGTGTATCACAACCGTCAATTTCCCTTCTTGCCCATGGACCCTTCAAGAGAGAAGGATCCAAAGATTTGCTTCTACCCTCCAATGCCTCAGCCTTACCCTTCTTGGTCAGCCTCTTTATCACCATCTTCCTCGTGTTCTTCCTCTTTGTGCTCTTCGTCTGTTTCTCACTCATCTTTGCCTTATTTGAGTGGTGGGTTGGATCATATGTCCATTTTAAACTCAGGGCCTAACGTTCCTTCAGCTTATCGGATAAATGGGGGGACTAGATTTAATGGGATCTCACCGTCATATCAACTGCACCATTACCACCATAATCAGTACGGTGTTGGTCCTTCTGAGGCTTCTCATGTGACAATGAGATCGAGATTTCTTCCAAAGCTACCGGCGAAGAGGAGTATGAGAGCTCCGAGGATGCGTTGGACGAGCACACTTCATGCTCGATTTGTTCATGCCGTTGAGCTCCTTGGTGGCCATGAAAGTAAATTTTCTCCTATTTGGTTCTCTAAATTTCTCGTATTTTACATTTTTAATTTTATTTTTATCGGCTTTTTGGGGTTTTTTTCAATCTATGCAGTTTATTTCTCTGGTTTAAGTCTCAAAGATTTTGGGACTTATCCGAAGTGATTAGTATCTGGTTTCCTTGTACTTTTAGGGGCTACCCCAAAGTCAGTTCTTGAGCTCATGGATGTCAAAGATCTCACTCTAGCCCATGTCAAGAGCCATTTACAGGTAGAGCACAATGAAAAGAAAAACCACTCTCTCTCGGTTTATGATATCTGGGTGGTCTCCGTCTATCGCTCCGGCACAGTAGCCGATGACGGCAGTGAATGACTTAATGAACGAATTAATGAATAGTGTAAAGTCAGAGAGAGAGAATAAAATGATACCAGACAAAAGTAAGTGATCATTTTTCAATTATACAGCTCATTATTACCATATCAAACACCAACTTTGTGATTAATTATGAAACCAAGACATGACCCAGAAGCCTAGATGGTCTCAGTACTCTGTGTGTGTGTGTGAGAGAGAGAGAGAGAGAAAGAGAGAAAGAGCTGAAATCGGCACACTATATTTTGGTTTTCATTTTTTTGTAAATCATATTGCTTTTATTCCCCATTCTGTTCAGTGATCTCAATTTGTAAATTCTACCCAATGCTGCTGCAGATGTATCGAACTGTTAAAACCACTGACAAGGGTGCAGCTTCCTCAGGTAATTTGCATTGTTTAGCCTTCAGATTTTCCTTGGCAGCTTTATTTTTTTCCTAACCCTCTATAAATTTGTACCATACACCTTATGAAAATCATCTCTTTCATTTTCTTTATTCTGTTTAACCTATTATGAATTAAAAACACAAAGGCCCATGTAAGTCTTCTCAAAAAATTTCATTATTTTTAAATCTACACTGTCTGCAGACAAATTGTACATGCATTCATGCATAGTCACACCCAGAAATAAATAAAAATACATATAGAGCCATACATTGTGTATATATTCATTTGGAAATTTGGGGTTTTTCTTTTCATTCAAGGCCAATCGGATGGATCTGGAGAAGAAGATATCTCCACTGTGGGAAGTGCAAGTGACCGTGCCAGTTTGCGCCTATTTATGGACCAAAGAGGAGTACCATCTGAAGGGCCTTCTCAGCAAGATACCGATTGCCCTTCCTCTAATACCCTGTGGAGTAACTCCTCAAGGTAGCATCATCTCTCTCTCTCTCTCTCTCTCTATATATATATATATATATGTCTTATATGTCGGGTGTTGCGACCTTTTGTTAAATCCCCATGTAGACTTTGGAATGATGATGGACTAATCAAGTGCTTTCCTTTTTCTTTTGCATTGTACCTTAATTTGAAAAATGCAAATCCATGTCCACCATATTTGAAGAATAAAAGAGTTCTTGTGGCAGCTTTTACTTTTGTTCTGTTTAGTTTCTTCTTCTTTTTTATATCTTTTGTTTTTGGAAGATTTTCACCTGAGATTGGTATGTGTGTAGCTTTGATGGATGGTATTAAAAAAAGCTACAAACACAATCTAAACGCTAATGAGGATAAGAGAAAGCAACGACTGCTAGCTTTTTCTTTTTTCTTTGGAACTATATTTAAACTCTGGTTCTTATTCTCTTCACGAGATTGCACATATGACCAAAAAAGGACCAGTACCTTGACTTTAGTGCTTTCCTGTTCTCACTGTGTATATGCATTTTATATGCATATACACATATGTATGTCTATGTATATGTGCCTATGCTTATGAATATGTATGTATATATGCATGCATGCATGTAATATACATGCATATTGGACATTGTTTGGTACTAGCTTCTGCTAAGTTACCTGCTTTTTTTTTTTAAGAAAATACAATTTGAACTTAATTTGAGACTTTTGTTTGAATTCATTCTTCTTTTACCTCTATCTCAACATGATAGCACGCATAATTAGCTGCCACGGAATTGTAATAAAAGCTCTAGAAGAGTTATAGTTTAACGAGGCACTAAATGCTTTCTATATTATTCATGCTACCACCAACGAGCCTTTGATTCAATAGTTCTTCTTACCTTATAAAAGTTTTGTCTTCTTGAAATCAAAGATTCAAGTCCACCCTTCCTCCTTCCCCCTTCCCCCTCCCAAAAAAAAAAAAAATTTCTTCGTGTTACCAGAAATAGTGAAGTTTATTTGGTTTATGCCTGAAATTTCTATGTTTATCTACTGTGCTTGCTCATGCATGTGCCCTTTTGTGCATTTTTCTATACATGTATTTCTTTTCGGTTTAGTAAATCACTTACTAACCCAAAAAAAAAAAAGTTACATGCAAATTGATTTTATTCTTGGTCATTTGATTCAATCTGGCCTTTTTTTTTATGGAACATTAATATGAGTGGTGGCAAAAAAAAAACAACTCTCAAATGGAATGCCTTGGTATGAAAACCTTTCTAACCTTTACTAACCACAATACAGCATATTACTCTTCCTCAGTCAGCTTCCTTAACAAAATGTATAGTGGCTATATTTCCTTAAATCTAGAGAGTTCACTGGAAGCAGTTGCTTGGTAGCTCCCATTCATGGATCAGCTGTGTGTTGTGGATAATGCTGGAATGTTAAGGATGCCTACCAATCTCTAACAGTCTGCATTATGGTGTGGAGCAGTGTACTACTTACTATCCTTGAATTGATTGTTATCCAATCTTTTGCAGCTTTCCCTCCAACTATAGTAGACTTCAAGACTAAATTGTTGGATAATTGTGAATAGTGATTTCTCCTTCCATTGCTGAGGGCCCCAAGTAATTAAGATTTTTTTTGCCATTGGTTCCTAGCCCTGAGCATTAGTAGAGCCCGAATTCTTAGAGGATGGTTGCATTCAAAAACAAATGATAGTGAATTTTAGGGTTTGGTCTGCACAATAAAATGCAAATGCTCAAGTTTGAGTTTTGGTACTAAGATTGCGTCTGATTTGCTACAAAATAAAACTCAATCTAGGCATTGATTGATCATACCACACTAGCATCACCATGGTAATAGGAGAGCAGAGCTTAATGATTGTACATGTAGAAGTAGAAAACTTAACATTAGCCTTTTGTATCCTTATGACTGCGTCTTTTCTTTGCTGATTAGGCATAGAGTTTATACTGTCCACTATTTCATGGGAATCAACATATAGGTAGGCATAGATTTGATAATTTTCATGATTTCAAGGGAGCCTGTATAACACCAGTTCCAATAAGCATCAGTGATAACCCTATTCCAGGTGGCTTCTTTAGACAATCCAGAGGCCTGTATAATTCTAATACTCCATCTCTATAGGAGGCGGCCTCCAGGTGCCAATGGTCATGCCAAAGCTTAGGCTGTTGCCCATTACCAATAATGTTTCTAATTTTAGAAGATTTTGCCAGTTCCATGAGCTTGTTTGTATTAACGAAGACTCTTTGAGAAAACTTGAATATTATTACAGACACACTTCAAGAGTTTACCTTGAACATTCTCTATAGATCTAGGGTTCTTGATTTGTACTAAATATGAATAGGTTTTGTGTTATGAGTAAAGTTTGTGCATTGCCTCGAATTACATTGAGATTTGTTTGAATAGGTAAGTTTCTACCTTGTCTTTCTTATTTTTTTTACATAAACTAGGTTTGTGTTTGGTGTGGAATAGGTTCTTATGAGTGCTAGTTTGTATGTCCTTCTGGTCATGTTTTGAACTTTATTAAACATCTAATATTTTTGGATCAACAAAAATATTTACCTGCCAAGAGTTTGAACTTTACTCTAAGCCTCGTAATTGTTTGGCTTCTATAAGTATCCACATAAGTTAACAAACTTGAAGGGTCTAGGTTCAACTTTGATGAACTATCAGGGGGAGGGAGAGAAAAAAGGGGTTGGATTTTTTTGTACGAGTAAGAAAGTCTGAGTCACCAACTACCTCCTCTAGGAGAGGTTTTATATAGCCCTTAAAGACCCTAATCCTAGTTTAGGTTTGATTATAATTGTCCCATAATTTCACAACCAGCCTTTACAATATTAATAAACTTCCTAATTAAAATTTAATTAGATTTTGAAACCATTAACTCTTAATTAGTTATTTCTCCTTTATCTTTTAATTTCAAATCAATTCAATTGTGTTAACCATATACGTTCAAGAATATTTGATTGTAGGCATTAGATAGTAACTTCAAATAATCTACGCACTCTGAAAAGAACAACAATGGAGACTCTGGAGAACCCCATATCCTCAACCTCCATAAACTCTAAACCTTCACCATAACCCTCTCTATTCCGCTTTCCTTATCCCTTCTCCTTTCCTTGCCTTTTCTCCCAATCCCTGCTACCTCCTCTTCCACGCTATCTTTTTTTATTTGTTCTACTATACATCCTTATCTTTTTCTCCTTTCCTCCATAGCTTTCTTGTATATCATCTCTTGTTCCATTATCCACCACGGAGCCAATGGATCATAATCTCAAGAGAATAATGATGGGCTTATAAAGGGCATTAATGCAAGAACCTTGCAATCAATAGTAGTTGTTAAAGTTGTTAAGGGTCAATCTAGCAAGGCAACAAAAGTTATCAAGATGAAAGAAGATCCCACTGCGAATGACGCAGGATATAATAGCGATTATTCTACATGCTAGTTTCAACTGATAATTCACAAAGAAGAACACAAGAGAATAGCCCCAAAAAAAATTAACTAAGCAGCCACAATTTTTGTAAAATTAGAATAATGAGAGTTAACCCTAAAACACATGAAAAAATCCTTTAAATATTAAACAATAGGCCAGAAACCCTAATTATGTAATGAATAATTAAATTACAAAAAAATACAAATAAACTCACAACTGGAAATAAATTTCAGAAGGCCCAAACACATGTTTCTAGACCCTTTTTGGGCTTTTAAGAGTGTTGGTCACAACCAAAGGTAATGAGTCTTGTATAGCTCGTTGAGAGTTTCGATTTAATATATTATGGGTCCCGTAACTCCAAACGGATCAAAAGTTAATGTCAAAAACATATCAACCCTTCTTAGACTTGGATTTCCTCTCTTTCCCTATGTGGACCGTCAATCATCTTTATGTTGATCTGCTAACTTAAGGTATCTCAGCGTCATCAACGTGTCATCTGATAACTCAGCATCATATGACTCAAATCCTCCTGCATCAATCAATGTCAACCCTTTTTAGACTTGGATTTCCTCCTTTTCCCTATGCGGACCGTCGTCCATCTTTGCGCTGATCTACTAACTCAAGGTATCTTAGCACCATCAACGTGTCATCTAATAACTCAGCATCATTTGACTTGGATCCTCCTACATCAATGGATGAGACGTATAAGGTGATTGAGACAACAAGCATTAAACCTCCATCAAGGAAAGAACTGGTTACTGTAGAAATAAGTAGGAGAGAAAGATCAGTTCAGATCTATTGAGTCAACTCAACCTCTAATTGTACAATCCAAGTTAGCAAAGGAATCTGATGTGCTAGCTAAGGATAAAAAAACCATCTCTCATCCAAGGTTTGAAAATGCTCCAGCTACGTAACCCAATGCAAAGCTAGGTAATGACCAACAAACACATACCCTGGAGGCCTTGGAGACAAATTTGGAAGGTGGACAGGCGACAAATCCTTCAACCTGCATGGGGGAAAGCCAAAGCAAAGTAATGAACCGCAAGTTCTTTCAACCTTTGAAGGAGAATAACAGAACTATTGTTTAACCATCTAAGGAAATTGGAAGGCTGGGTTGCATGGAGTGGTTAAACTATCTTGTAGGCTACTTTATAAAGAAAAAATTGTCATTCTTTTCAGTTAATTTCATAACACATAGAATGTGGGACAACCAGGGGTTACTGGAGGTTTTGGCCAATGATGAAGGATTCTATTACTTCAAATTCATGAATAACGAATCCATGACCAAGATCCTTGAATCTGGACCTTGACTGCTATTGAGTAGACCATTAATCCTACAAAAATGGTATCCTAATATTCAGCTAACCAAGTGTCACCATGCTAACATCCCTTTGCGGATTAAACTGCACAATGTACCCCTTCAGTTTTGGAATGAAAAGGGTTTGAGATACATTGCTAGTGTTGTAGGAAAATCCCTATATGTAGACTCACTTGCTGTAAAAAAAAATTGAGGATTAGCTATACAAGAGTATGTGTTGAAGTCAGTGTTGAAGAACAACTACTTGCGGCCTTTGATTTGAGAATTGAT